TTCTGCTAACTTTGCTGTTATTACAACGCTCTATTAACATATAAGGGGTAGAGTATATATTTGTGAAATGCAGTTTTAAACAACAATATTTTATAGATTCTTCTTTTTCTCTAACCCCAGAGACTTAAAAGGAGGTGTTTTTTGTGAAGCGCCTAAAGAAACAGATTTATTCTGAAATATGGGCTAGGTTGGAAAATAAGCAAGTATTCCTTTCAAGGAGGCAATGTCTTTCCCACAGTATACACATTATAAAACTGAACAGGTCAATAGAATAAAATCAGCCAATTGATCATTCTGCCTCCTATCTGATTCAAGGGAATAAAGCAAATGTAAGGCACCATTTGGAATCCATTGGTATATCTGATACACTTAAGCATATATAAGCAATTCTAATCTGTTCTGTTCTGGACTCATAACTTCAACACAGAAATACGTAAAGGAACAAATAAACAAACATTGGCCCACAGCATTACATATGCTTTCTTTTCTATCCCTGTTTATCGCATGATTTTGACTTAGTAGTTCCATACTGCAGGATGTGGTGAGCAGAGGATAAATTTAGTTCCGAACCATAATAGAAAATAGCATTCCCAATATAAGAGTCTTACTCAGGGCCTTAGACTGGAGGATCACCAGAATCCCTTCCATTCCTATGGTTCTGTGACTCTGTGATTCTAAGATTATGGTACTATCATTCTTGGCAAAAAAAAAAACCCAGTGATATTTATCACTAAGATAGAAATGACATTTCTCATTTTCTTCTTTCTATATTCTATCTTGTCTAATTATGAAAACCATAAATCATCAGTTGTTTTTGTTTCTGTTCCATGCAAAAAGTCTACAAGCGGGTTTCCGGTGATTAATGTAAAAACTGTTTTTTCACTGGTCAAAGAAATCAATTCAGCCATGTTAGCAAGTTTCATTATTTTTACCAATCATGCTTCCATTATGGTGATGCCAAATCTTGCCATTTTGGGCCTACAATAATTTTGTTGCAATTAACATGCACAAAATCAAAGTTCCATACTTTTTCCCCAATAGTTTGTCTATCAGTACTAAAAGAAAAATATCTGGTCTTAATTATATATTCATCTTCAAAATCCTCTGAATCGGTATTTCTATATTTAAACCCAGATTTTCTAGCTGTTTTACCTATCCGCCAAATATGATAAAAAGTTTCTTCTATTTTCTTCACATATCCAACATAAATTTGAGCTGCTTTTGTATGTTCTAGACAATTTTTCTGGTAATATATACCAACACTACTGCATTTTATACAGATTTACCTTTAAGGTTGTAATATGGTGTAAGTTTCAATCCTTACAGCCACACATTTTCCCAGTGTTCCATCTGTATAACCACAATATCAGCCCACTTTATCATATATTCTCATTTGTTGTTCTTCTGCTTCAAATTTCAATAAAATGTATAATATATTAGCAATTACATCTTTATTTATTATTATTTGTACAGAATTCAGGCTTTATTATTTGTACAGAATTCTATTTCAGATTCAGTGTTACAATATTCAAAACCATATTTTGGGTTACTTTAAATCTTTCTAGTAATTAAATCATTGATAACTATAACCTTCTACCACCAGTTTTTCTTTTATTTTCTTTTACAACAAAATTCCAGTATTTCACAATAAGCTAGTTACTTCCTTTATTTCTTATCTATAAAATGCTTTCTGAGATGAAAGGCACACAGGTGGTTTTGGGCACAACCTGGTTTTGCATCTATGACATACTCTCAACATGGCACATCTAACATAATGGTTTTTACAATCTGTATTAAGCTTGATCACAAATTTCTTTACCGCCCAAATCTCAAGTCATGAACTTCTAACTCCAAAAGCCTATTTCTCAGCAATGCTTATTCTTTAATCCAAACCAAATAGCAAGCTGCAAAACACAATTTCAAATCAGATAACCCCAATCTGCTTGTTCCTTTGCATCTTGTAACATTGTAACCATACCCATTTTGATAACTGATAAACCTTTTTAACAGTGAGAGATCTAAATTTTTGTGGCAGCGAAAAAATGCAAGTTAAAAATTGAGCTCTTTTGAACTGCATCATTTATGATATTTGAAACAGGAAATTCCGGTTGGTGGTATTCCTTCTGCTATTTGTTGAAAGGAAGAGGATGGGATTAGGGAGAGCAGCAAGTATAAAATCAGATGTTAATGTGGAAAGGAACTATTTGGGCTACTACTGTGGAGGACAAGCCTGAAGTACATTGCTGAAAGGTAGGTGCACTGTGATCATTCCACAAGTGGTCAATATTGTTACTGAGATTTCACACTATTGGGGTGCAAAGACCATGGTCGATGTTCCTATTTTATACAGAGTTCAATAGACTTTGCTGTCCTTCAGCGTGAATTACACCTCAAGGCTATTATTGTTACTGTAAATGCAACAATAGGTTTCTCAGTTGTTTACCAAAAATGCATGCACGTCTTTAGGTTGAGCTTCAGGCTAAATGCAAAGATTGCAGTTTTCTGAAATGTAGAAATATAAGCAGTGATTGTGAATTAGGAACAGACAATCTTAAATTATTAGCCAAAGTATAATTTTTATATTATTATATTTTTCATGGGCTATTTTAAAGTGAATCTATAGTGTATCATGCTTGACTGGATTTTGTGACTATTGTATAGACAGCTTGCAAAAACAAACACTCAAGGCCTATGTGACATTGCTGTATTTTGCTTCAACAAATGGATATCAGCACAAATTCTTTGTCACAGAACAGATGGAATATGATTTGCCTCAATGAGATACTCCATGTTGCTTCTGGAGCTTCATTCTGTAGTTTCAGTAGCCGCAAGAAGAATGCACAGAAGGAGTTCCCATCACTTTCTTCATGTATGAGAACATCCCAAGACTGGCCAATGCTGGTCTTGCTTTACTTTGAGAAGAGGTGTGGGTGGGGAGTGGAGGTGTCATTGTTTTGAGAAGCAACTTCATAGGGATACTTTCCATGCACCTTCATGAAAGCAAAAGTCCCTTCAGAACTTTGTCTATCCCTGTTAACTTGTTTCCATGAATGCTCTGGAGGTTTTATTAGCATTAAAACTATTAATCTTCTCCTGCCCTGCATTATCTTTAGAAAAGCCTTGACATGTAATTCAGGCTGAAGGACAGCAAAGTCTATTGAACTCTGTATAAAATAGGAACATCAACCATGGTCTTTGTACCCCAAATTCAGTATTGTAAATCAGGGGTTGGAACCAAATCTAATGTGCAACCCATTTTTGAACTTCAACTCTCACCGTCTCTTATTGTTGACTATGGTTACTATGCAGTCTTAGAATTGAAGTCTAAACCTTTGGAAAGTGCTAAATGGTTGTCCCTTCTCCTATAGCTTCATTGTCTGCTCATTTGTAAATGATGAGAACAGAACTTATTTCTTTTGTTGACTGATCAATCAACAGTTGGTCTTGTCACCACAATTTTCTTATTGTGGAAATCTATCAAATACAGCTGCTTGCCCAGAACATGCTATCTCCCTCATACTCCCTCTACTAGCAGCATTTTACATTCTAAATCTACCCACAATCAGAAGGTACCTATTTCAATCTGGACACTTGGTTTACCTAAATAACCTTTGTTTAGTAATAAACATGTCATTAGAGCAGGGTGGCATGATGGTGTAGTGGTGAAGATGCTCACCTCCCAATCGGAAGGTAGAGAATGCAATCCAGAGGTGGTATTCAGTAGGTTCTGACCAGTTCTGGAGAACCAGTAACAGAAATTTTGAGTAGTTTGGAGAACCGGCAAATACCACCTCTGACTGGAGATTTTACAGTATCCTTTCCCTGCCACGTGCACCAAGCCACACTCACAGAATGGGGTAGTAAAAAAATTTGAATCCCACCACTGGTGCAATCCTAGGCAGTGGCAGATCTGTCTCTCTCAGGGTGCAAAGAGAAAATATCTGCTATGAACTCAATGTGGGTATTAGGAAGGGCATCTGGACAATAAATTATCACTTCCATTCAGTTATCCCAACTCTACTCTGAATAAAAGGATTACAGGGTGATAAAAAGAAAAAAAAAAGTCATTAAAAAAATTCATGAGTGTGCAGAGATAGACAGCCTAACCAAATTACTAAAAAACAACAAAGATAGTGAATACTAAAAAGTTTGGAACTGTTGGTATGAGTGGTTAAAGAAAAAGCCACATTTGACAACTAAATAAGTTATGAAACTTTGAAGAACATGCTTTTAATCATAAAGTATTCTGTAAAATTAAAACATTAAAAGAACGAGGAAGGTATTGTAACAAGGTAGATCACATCAATGATATGGGGTAAAAGAAAAAAAGAAAAGAAAAATGTAACCAATGCTCAATACCTGCTGCAAAATGTATATATGTATGTATGTATGTATGTATATGTATATGTATATGTATATGTGTGTGTATATATATATATATATGTGGATCTTTGGTTGTTCGGGTTTTCTCCCGCGTAAGATTCGAAGTATCTAGGCAACGTTTCGATGAAGTCTCATTCATCATCTTCAGGCTTCTGTCTCCGGCTCTGTGCTT